GACATTTTGGCCACTTTTCAGGTCATTTAAGGCCATTCTGGGTGCTTCTCAGGGCATTTAGGGACGTTTCAGGGCCATTCCTGTGTTCTTAGGGGGTGTTTTATGTTAACAGGGGGGTCAGATTCACTCTCAGAACATGTAGGCATATTTGGGGGTGTTTGGGGGTGTCTGGGGGCGTATTTTGGGGAGGGTTCTCAAAACACTTGGGCATATTGGGGGTATTTGGGGACATTTAGAGACATTTTGGCCACATTTCAGGTTACTTAAGGCCATTCTGGGTGCTTTTCAGGGCACTTAGGGACACTTCAGGCCCATTCCCACGTGCTTAGGGGGTGTTTTACGTAAGGGGGGGTCAGACTCACCCTTGCTGCTGCCCGGGCCGCTGTCGGAGGTGCTCAAAGAGCAGCAGCCCGCGGGCGTTGGCGCTGCAGAGGGGCTCAGAGCCCTGCAGAACATCCAGGCGGAAAGGCTGCGCCGTCAGCAGCAGCCGGAGACCCCCAGGACCCCCCCACGACAGCTCCACGCTGCCCTCGTCACGGCCTGACACCGACAGCCTGGGGGAGGAGGGGAGGAACAGGGAGAGAAGGGGCTCAGTGGGCTTAGGAACACATTTGGGGGGTGGGGGGGTGGCATGTAGGGGCCCCAAGCTACCTAAAAACCGCCTTAGGAAACGTTTTGGGGAGGGGGGGGATATATTTAGGGGGGGAGGTTGACTATCAGGGGGATTTCATTTATGGGACCCTCAAATTTAGCACCCCGGACCCCCCCACGACAGCTCCACGCTGCCCTCGTCACGGCCTGACACCGACAGCCTGGGGGGGGGCAATGGGAGAAAAGGGGTTCAATGGGCTTAGGAACACATTTGAGGAGGGGGGGGTCTTTAAGTGTCCCCCCAGAACCCCCCCACGACAGCTCCACGCTGCCCTCATCCCGGCCTGACACCTCGGAGGGGTGGGGAGGGTCTCAATCTGGGGGGGGCTGTGAGAGTCAAGGCTCAGGATGGGGGGGGTCTCCCACCTGGTTACCCCCAATGAAAGGCTTAGACAACACTTGAAGGGAGGCAGAGATTACTTTGGGGGGGTTCTTTGCTTATGGGACCCCCAAAAATCACCAACAAAGGGCACAGAATTGTTGGGGGGGGGTTGCTGAGGACCCCCCCCTCAATGTGGGGGGGGCTGTGAGACTCAAAGCTTGGGATGGGAGGGGTCTCCCACCAGGATGCCCCCAGTAAAGGGCTCAGAGAACACCTGAAGGGAAGGGGTGTTATGTTAAACAAGGTCTTTGCTTACAAAACCCCCCAGAATCACCAACAAAGGGTACAGAATTGTTGGGGGGGGGTTGCTGAGGCCCCCCCCTTAACGTGGGGGGGGGGCTGTGAGACTCACGGCTCGGGATGGGGGAGGTCTCCCACCAGCACGTCGGGCACCTCGTAGCGCGGGCGCAGCGGGCGCAGCTCCCGGAGCCGCAGGCGGGTGATGTTGGAGTGCAGAGCCTGCAGCTCCAACTGCAACGGGACCTGGGGAGGGGGGGGGGAAAAGGGGGGGTTACGGGGGGCAAAACGGTCCCGAGACCCCCGCCCCCTCCCCCCCCACCCTCAACAATCCCTTCTCTGTGAAAGTCAATCCAATAAGCGCCCTCATAAAGCCCCCAAATCTCCCCTATGAAGCCCCTTCAAAGAGCTCCAAGAATTCCCCCCAACTCCACCTCTGGGGGGAGGGGGGGGGAAAAAGAGGGTTTATGGGGGGCACAATAACCCCCCCAGCCCTAATCCCAACCCCCCCAGACCACCAAATCTCCCCAGAACCCCCCTTGAACCTCCCAGTTCCCCAAAATCCTCTCAATCCCCTCAATCCCCTCCCTGCCTCAGCCCCCCCCCCTCCAAACTGCT